AAATAAAATACCTTTGTTTGCACTTCAGTGGGACAAATCTAACCCAGATAACAGCAACAGATTTAAGGCCACTGCATCCTGGTGTACTAGATTCTTGGAAAGGCATAATATGGTACTGAGGCAAAAGACAAAAATTGCACAAAAATTACCTGCAGATCTTGATAGCAAAGTAATTAGTTTCCATCAATACATAATACAACAGCGCATTAAACATGGCTATGCGTTAAGTAGTATTGGAAACATGGATGAAATTCCAATGAATTTTGATATGGTTGGAAATAAAACTGTCCATCAAAAAGGTGAAAAAACAATTTTAATTAAAACAACAGGACATGAGAAGTCCAGTTTTACAGTGGTACTAGCGTGCACAGCTGATGGTGCCAAACTGAGACCAATTATTATTTTTAAAAGAAAAACAATGCCGAAACTCAAGTTTCCTGTTGGTTGTTTTGTACATGTGAATGAAAAAGGCTGGATGGATGAAGAAGGGGTAAAGCTATGGCTTGATAATGTATGGAGCAGGCGACCAGGTGGACTTATTCAAAAACGTAGTCTACTGGTGTGGGATATGTTCAGTGCTCATTTAACTCCCAGCACCAAGCAAAGGCTTGCAAGACTAAACACAGATGCGGCAGTTATTCCTGCAGGATTGACATTGTTAGTACAGCCACTGGATGTGTGCCTAAACAAGCCATTTAAAGATCGCATTCGAGAACAGTGGAATGAATGGATGGTTAGTGGCGAAAAGTCATTCACAAAAGGAGGAAACATGCGTGCTCCACAATTTGATGTTTTGTGCAAGTTTGTCATAAAAGCCTGGAATGATATTGATGCAGAAACAATAATCAAGTCTTTCAAGAAGTGTGGCATATCAAATTCATTAGATGGTATGGAGGACGACTACTTGTGGCAAGATGAAGAGGAAGCCAAAGCTGAGACCACACCATCTGATATGGAATTCAATCCATACGATGACTGCCTTACAAATATATCACAAGATATCATTGATATTTTTATGATATCAGATGACGAACAGGATGATTTTAAAGGCTTTTAAAGGGAAAGTGTCACGTCAGCAAAACCTGTAAAAATAGCTTGCAGTTATGATGGGTGTTGCTGACTCGCCAGGGACTTGCCCGGCACTTGCTCTCTCTATTGTTTGTTATCTTCCTCCTATCATCAGTTCCAGTTTGGTTGACAGCTTAGAAACAAACAGCATGGCAGCTCCCATGGGTTTATTGTCCTTCCTTTCAGCTTTAGAGTGAATTAGGAAAAGTTTAATCCACTTGCACTGTTTTATGTTTACATGTTTGATGACAAACAGCCTTATGTTTATAAGTTTTCCTGCTAAGTACCTGCATGTCATAAGCATTTGAATTAAAATTACCATATTGAAATCAAATCTGATGTTTTTTAATTTTTATTTGGTATGCTTTGGAAGAGGGGTAGTCTTATACGGCGAGTATAGCCCAAACCCTATATTTTAACTGGAAAAGTCGGGGGTTGTCTTATACGCCCAGTTGTCTTATATGTCGGAATATACAATAGTTGATTATCCACACTATCACAGTTTTCAGTAGGTCGTGTCTGGGAGTCAGTTCCTGTTGCTTTTAAGACTACAGGTATCTCAATTAAAGTCATTCTTTGGTCATCAGAATTCTCCATGAGTTGTACGTAGGGCTGTTTAATATCCTCTTCTACATTAATTGATTCCTTTTCTGTTGTTTTTTTACTTATGGCATAATTAATTGGGATCTGAAAATCAGTGTGAGATTTTGAGGCAAAAAATTGTCTAAGATTCATTTGCTCAGTAGCTTCCACAATTTTTTCCGCTGTAGGTTTATAGTTGGATTGTGGGTTTGGTTCCTCCATTTCTTTAACTTGTGTTTATTGTTGCGTACAGGCCTCTTTGGAGCTAATCAGTTCCTCCTCTATTGTTCCTTGGCCTATAGATTGATCCATTAAGGTTTGAGATTCAATTTGTGGTTCTGAAATATCATCTTTAATATTTCTCCAAGATTTCATGTACTCTGTAGCTTCCAGAATTTTTTCCAATATAAGCTCATAATCAAGCTGTGGGTAAAACTCCTCCATTTTAGTGGAGGCTACATTTACTAAAAGTCAACAAATATTCACCTCCAGAATTTCTAGTAAACAAGTTCACCACCCTGTTGTTTCAAATCCTTTATCTTTTCCTTTTTATTATCATTTGAAAGTCAAATGCATCTTTAAACACCAAAAGGAAATAGAGTTGCAGTAACGATTTTCACTACAAGATGTCCTCAGTAGACTGTAAAATCTTTTTTCCAGATTAATAAAATTTTATCTCATTAGGAAAATAGAAAACAAAACAAATATCTCCAACATAATAAGTAAAATAGTAATAATGTTCTATAATAAGAACATTTTCAGGACCCCAAGGTATCCAAAAAATTAAATAGTCATTAAAGGATAGCTCTTTTGTTTCCAAAGCTCTTTTTCCTAGATAAACAAATGCTGCTCTCTTAAAGCAGGGAAATAGTTCAGAGGTTTTTTACAGGAAAATAGTTAGGGAAAGAGGGAAGGAAAGGTCTCACCCGGATCATCCATGGTGGTTCTTTACACTTAGCTGTTCTTCTGACTTTTGGCTGGTGCGGCTAAATGATCAGCCATGTTACTGGCCGATCTTTTCTCCGTTGGCCCTAAGGGGCTGGCTCGGACTGTGGAAGAAGCTGCTGCTCTCCCACAGTCAGACAAGGGGCTTCCTCAATGATAGTCACCCCTCCAGGGTGACTTTTCGACCCTATTGAGGGTCTACTGGCGGAGAAAAACCGGCCAGCGAAGAGACAGCTCTCTTCGCACGACCGCCTGTGCCGCGATTCAGAACCAGAAGTCCAACACTGGAAGTTTTTAAGAAGAGACTGGACAGCCATTTGTCCGAAATGGTATAGAGTTTCCTGCCTGAGCAGGGAGTTGGACTAGATGACCTCCAAAGTCCCTTCCAACTTTATTATTATTATTATTATTATTATTATTATTATTATTATTATTATTATTATTACTATTATATGATGTATTGGGTACCCCATGCAGTCTGTAGATGTGCTGCACAAATAGTTTTGTTAAGGTTTTTGCGGTGGGAATCTTTTGGCATAAAGTGCACCTGTTTGGAAAACAGGTCCGTAACCACCCAGATGATAGTGTTTCCATTGCTTTCTGGTAATTCCACTATACAATCCATGGATATTTCTTTCCAGAGGGACTGAGGGATTTGCAACCTCTTAGCAGTTGTGCATATTGGGCAGCTGTCCACATAACTTTCTATGTCCTTTTTCATGGATGGCCACCAAAATTGCCTTTTACTTAAATGTAATGGTTTTTTTTTATTGAAAATTTTTAAGTTTTACAAAAAGAAATTCCCTTCCCCAAACCCTCCCAACCTTCTCCTACCCTCCCCCAACCTTCCCAGAGCTGAATACAGGCTTAATTAAAAAAAAAAAATTAAAAATTCTTAAAACACATATAAACCATAAGCAAATCTAAGTGCATTAATTAAACAACTTATAAAATAGTTAACAGCAATATATAAAAAGAGTACAAGAAGAAAGAAAAAAAAGAAACAGAAAAGAAAAATTCAAATAAAATAAATAAATAAAAAAGTTAAAAAAAATCTATGAAATATCTTAAAGTTTAAATATAAATTATTCAAAAACTAAATAATATTTTTTTATATCCAACTTATATTGTATGAAATCTATCCATTTTTTCCATACCAGGAGGTACTTCTCTTGTGATTGATCTTTCAAGAAAGCCGAAATCTTTGCCATTTCCGCCAAATAAGAAACTTTAAGAAACACTCTTGCAAAGTAGGCAAAGATTCCTTCTTCCAACATTGCCCTACTAACAACCTAGCCGCTTTAATTAAATTTAACATCAATATAGTCTCTTTACTATCACAATCAGAAACAATACCTAACAAAAACAATTGTGGGGTAAATTTTATCCTTCTTCTAAAAATTCTTTGAATATTCCACCCTATCTTAATCCAAAAAGCTTTTATATTTTTACATGACCACCAGATATGATAATAAGTAGCATCCAAACATCCACATCTCCCACATTTAGGCTGCAAGTCAGGATACATACGAGACATTTTTTGTGGATCAAGGTGCCATCTATAAAACATTTTATAAAAATTTTCCCTTAAATTTTGGGCTTGTGTGAATTTAACATTCCTCACCCAAATAATCATTTTAAAACTGTATAATTGTTTCTATCTAGACAAATATCTTCCACTTCATAGTGCTAACTAGAATGTTTTTAAACTCATTCAGTAGTGTATAATATACACTTAATACAATCTTAATAAAGATTTCAGATTCATGTTTTTCAAGCTTGGAAACTCTTAAGATGTGTGGACTTCAAATCCCATAATTCCCCACCCTTCATGCTGAATTATGGGAGTTGAAATCAACAATCTTAAAGATGCCAAGCTTGAAAACACTGTTTTAAATTATTGAATCTTCAAGGTCAACTCAAATAAATTAACTTTATTATATGCTGATCATGCCTTTTTTAAAAGAACAATTTTAAGATACATCCTAGTAGTCTTTAAATATTAGCTTTGTAAAGATTCTGGTATATTTGACTGGGGGGGGGAATCCTATTTAAAATTTTGAATCCTATTTAAAAACCCTTCCCATCTCAAATATGAACATATGTTCTCATTTACTGTAAAAATTCTGTGCCCGTGAGTTGTGTTGAACTGTATACAATATACAGTATGTGTTCCATATTATTTTGTTTCTACTTAAATTCAATATTTATGTACTATATTATAGCACTAAAACTGTTCTTTATGCATGGTAACTTCATCAAATGACAAATGCATATTTTTTCACTTTAGTTGAGAGATTAAAAGTAAAGCCCAACCACCTGACTTATTTTAGTATTTTTTTTCAATAATTAATCCTACTGGAGAAAATGTACTTCCAAAATAAGAGTAGCAGATAGTAATGTCTAAGAAAGGCCATAAGATATTTGAGCAAAGAGAGTTTTAAATCTTATCTATACGTTTGTCTGACTGAACAGAAAAATCCTCATTCTCTTCTACAGAATTACACAAATCAGCAGCTATAGGGTCAGAAGGCGTTGTTGGAGTCAGAGTATGTCCAAATCCTTGGTAATGACCCACAGGTGATGATGGTACAGAAGTAGCAGTAGAAATTGGGTCTTGACTGGATGTTGACAACAAACTTGTATGTTCATTTTGTTCATGATCCTCACCAAAAAACATTTTCCTTGGCTGACCAAATACTGTCCTTCCAACATTGCGAACTTGTTCTGTTACATCTGCTCTGATATCTGAAATATCCCACATTGCAAGAAATGAATCAAAACATGATCCTTCTTCAGCTTCTTGCACATAAGGCTTGTAGGTAAAACTATAATGATGAGCAATTGCAGCAAAGAACATTTCGACACAGATGATAAAATCTTGCAGACCAGTTGCTACAGCTTCAACACTCTGCCATTCCCATGTGTGCTTTTCAGAGATAACACCAACTTTCACCAATACTGCAATAAGTACAGCTTGCCAGAAGGAAACAAAAACCACCATTTTCACACAGAGAAATTTTCCTACAGGTCGGATTGGGTTCAGTTCTTCTCGCAGTACTTTATAAAATAACACAAGGCAATACATGGCAAAGAGCTGGGATATATTGTTGATAAATACCAGGTAAGTCCAGGCATTTTTGAAGCTAAAATTTCCTTCATCATAGACACAAATCAATTCACAGATTAAAGCAGTAATAGTAGTGAATGGTCTGACAACTGTGTACTGTAGAACGCCAAGCTTACACCTAAACAACAACACCTCTCCCATAGCCCATGGTGGACAGCAACACAATGGTGGCAGATGTCGCTGCTGATCTTTGGCTTCTATTATTAACACCAGATTTGGATACCAGTTGATAAGATAATTTGAAAGAAATACCATGAAGTTATAGATCACATACGCTTCATAGCATTCTCTACAAGTATCCACATATATTGCAATGTTGGGATATTTCAGTGCTATCCAACTGTCTAAACTGTAAATTGGCACCATCCATAGAATTCTTATTATTGGTTTCTGTAATTCTGGTTGAGTATAATGAACTAAATGTTGCAATATCCCCCAAAGAGATATTGGTATTGTCATCAATAAAAAGATACCAGCAATAAACCATGCTTTAGTATGAACTCCAACCTCCAGTTTCTGCAGCTCCCAGACGCAGAGAGGTACGGCCACCAGCAACCCCACCAGGTACACCATAGCCACCAGCGGCCGGATCCAGCGTCACCAGTTGCCGCAGGTGCAGGGCATGGTGCCGCTGGCTCAGGCCCTCAATGCCACCTCGGTGCGATCGAGACTGGTCACCGATTTAAGAATTGGCCAGGAGGGCCACGCAGGTGCATCGCCGCAGGCTGCCTCCAGCCCCGCCCTTCTGCCACCATCCGCCGCTCGCCTGCTGCCCCGCAGCTGCCCCGCGCGAACAAAGCAGGCCACCCTTCCCCTCCCCATTCTCTCCCACTCTCCCGGCGCAGAAACTCCTGCGGGCTACTCCCACTCCCGAGCAGGGCCAAAGCAGCAGTCTAAATGTAATGTTTTTACAAATCCAAAATGCCCTGCTGATTTTGTGTCATGGCATAGCTGCACGAAAGTGACCCTCTGGGTGGTTGGTATATATAACTTCTCCCCCACCCAAGGCAGTCCGTCCTTGATTGTGCACACATGTTATATTGGGGCATGCGAGACAGTGCATCTGCCAGGAAATTCTTTCCCCCTGGCAAGTGTTTGAGCATAAAATAGAATTGGTGAAAATGCTGGGACCAGCGGCCTTACTTGGGAGTGAGCTTTCTGGGTGTTTTTAAGGCTTCAAAGATGTTGTGGTCCATCCAGACCTGAAAAGGGATTTTATTCCCTTCAAGGAAATGGCACCACTAAGTAATGACCATCTCAGAGCATATGCCTCTTTTTCCCACATGGCCCAGTGCTGTTCTGTTTCGGTGAATTTCTTGGACATATACATGCACGGTTGCAATACCCCTTTGTTGTTTTCTTGTTTGTTGTTTTCTTGTAATACAGCCCTCACTGCCACATCGCTTGCGTCTGCCTGTATTACAAAAGGTTTATCCATGTCTGGGTGCCTCAGTAAGGGTTCGGCAGAAAAAAGTCTCTTTAACCTTTCGAATGCCATTGGCATTCCATTGTCCATTTTAGTGGCTGGCTAGATTTCACTGAGGATTCTCCCTTCATTTTTAGTAAGTTCGTGAGGGGCAGGGCTATTTGGCCAAACGAAGGGATGAATTGGCAGTAAAAGTTTGCGAAACTCAGGATACTTTGCAACTGCTTCCTTGTGGGAGGTGGTGCCCATTCTAGTACTGCCCTGACCTTCTTGGGGTCCATTTCAATGCCCTGTGGGGATATGCGATAACCCAGGTAGTCTATTCTTTCCTGATGGAATTCACATTTCGATAATTTGACATATAGGTGGGCAGTTCGCAGTTTCTTTAAAACTGCTCTGACTAGGTTGACATGTTCCTCTTTGGATTTGGTGAAGATAAGGATGTCGTCTAGATAAACCAGGACCCCATTAAATAGGTCCTTAGTACCTCATTGATTAATTGCATAAATACTGCGGGGGGCCCTTGTAGTGCAAATGGCAAAGCTTTGAATTGGTAGCACCCCATTGGGCAATTAAATGCAGTTTTCCATTCATCCCCTTCCTTAATCCTAATGTGGTAATATGCTTCCCTTAGATCTAGTTTAGTGAAAATTCTTCCTTTCGAGAGGTGGGATAACATGTCCTTCATGAGGGGTAGGGGGTATAGGTTACTTTCACTGATTGCATTCAGGGCACAATAATGCCCCTTTCTCCCACATTTGAAACAGCCCATTGACTTCTTGGCCGTAGCTGGTGGTTTTTCTGGCTCGTGAATTGGCTCAGAAAGCGAGCAGCCCCATGGTTTTCCTGGTGGTGCCTCTTCAGTAGGTCAATTTCTGCTTTCTCCACCAGGATGTACCATTAATCGAGTTGGCATGGGTCCCCTTGAGGCAGGCAAGCATCATACAGGTCCTAGTTTAGGCCGTCTTTAAAATGGCTAAGGAGGATGTCTTCCGCCCAGTTCAGCTTGTTGGCAATGGCCTGGAATTCTTGTGTATATTCAGCTACCGGGCATCTGCCCTGCCTCACCGTCTTGATTCTCTTGGGGCCTTTTGATCAGCCAGGGGTTCCTCGAATCGCCTTCTCAGAGAGGACATGAATCATTTGAAGTTGCTGAGCTCTGGGGCATTGTAATCATGCAGGTTCACCATCCAGTCTGCGGCCACCCCATCCAGAGCAGATTGCACAATACGGATATGGGCTTTATCACTGGGGATGTCCCATCCGTATTCTTCCATGTAGCTGAGGACTTGGGTTAGGAAGAACCCCAAGTGTGGCAGCTCCCCCCTGAATTTCGCATCCAGTGGCAGGAATCTTTGGATGGATTGGTGCCTTTGCTGATGTCGTGATTCTGTACCAGCCTGTGTTCTCAACAGCTGAGTCCGGGGAATCTGAGGAGGAGGAGGTGGAGGGAGGCTCTGATGAGTTACAAGACTCACATTCCAGTGAGGAGCCTGGCCCCTTCAATCATGTTCAGGATGAGATGCAGCTGTGTGGGGAGGATGAGTCAGACTCAGAGGATTTACAGCTGTCGGAAATGAGAGACACCCACAAAAGAAGGCAAGCTAGGAAAGTAAACCAGAGAGAGGCTATGGGACGACTCCGGAGAAGGCACTTGTAATTCAGCCTCGAGGACTGAATTACAAAAGGGAATGTGTGGGCGGTGCTGGTTGTTGAAGGCAACCATTGCAAAGTACTTCATGGGATCATGTTCTGTTAATATTGCCGGTGACTACTTTTCTGTTTGCATTGTGTTTCTTGTGGACAATTTCCTCCATTTGGATTGTGTTTTGCTGCTTTTGTTTCTGGACTATTTGGCAGGTTTGTTACCCATATTAAAAGGGGTTTGTTTTGTTTTGAGTCTCCAGCCTATTTTCTCAACAGGGATTTTGTCCTTGTGCCTTTAACAAGGACAGCCATAGGCTGGGATAGAACAGCTGATCCCTAAGCAAACTCCACCCCACAGTTCTTCTGAACAGTTCAGACCGGCCAATTCCCAGGTGGTTAGTCCATCGTGGGAAAGGGAAGATAGCATCAGTCCGTCTCTGTTTGTAGTATGATGTTCCACAGCTGTTCACACCTCCTTTTGGGACCGGAGAAATAAGCCAGGTTCTGGATGTTTATACTTCTTCCCCCCCCTTCCTAACTGCCCAGTTAGGGAGAAGAAAATTCAGAGAGATGCATAGTAAAGGGGGCAATTTGTTACATTGTAATGGCCAGTAGACCCAGCGGCAATAAACAAAAGGTTACATTGTAGCAAATAGAGGAAGTGAAAGTCATAACCCCACAAGCATATCCCCCCACCCCCTTGGGAGTATGGCAGAATTCAGGGGAAGGTGAGATTTGGTTTTAGATCAGAGGAGATAGATAGAAATGAAATATAAATGGATTCTGACAAAATTCATGCAAAAGCCTAGTTCTTGGAGAAGACTCTAGAGCTAGGAAATATGGAAGGAAAGCAAAGAAGAGGATGACCAGGAGCAAGGAACGTGAACTCAATTAGAAATGGCAATTGATGCACCATTGGAAGATATGAAGGGATCAATTTCTTCAGGCAGACATGGAGAAAATCTATCTATGTGACTGCTAAAAGTTGACATTAACTTGATAATGCATAATCACCTCCCCTCTCCCCCAAAAAAGAAACTAAGTGTGCAATGTCACTATTTGACATCTTTCACATCATGGATTCAACCCAACCGGAAACAGAAAAAAAAAGACTTATAGCCACCAAAGGATCAAAAACAGGCAATTATTTTATGATCTCCTATTTAAAAATACAGTAATAAAATTCTGTGTGATTTAATTGTAGCAGCTAAAATAATCATTGCCCATCATTGCCCAATATTGCCCAAGAAATGGAACAGTTAAAGTGTAGAATAACAAGGCCTTTTCAATTGCCATATTAGAAAAAAAATTCAGACAGTTATAATAATACTGTAAGTCATCAGAAGCCAGAACCACAATTCTATTATAAAAGAATTATATGGCTTATGTCAACAGCAATAGATTATAATATGATATATATATGTACAAACTGTGTATTGTATACAATGTTATATATTGTACTGCTTTTATTACCCTGAATTGCAATTATCATTCTAGCTTCTTTTGTGGGTTACAAATAGTCAGAGACTGCAATATGTTTTACAATATTTTTAAATTTCTAATACTTTTAAAATTTTTGTGGATTTTGTGGGCTACCTTGTATTATCTTTTTATATCATAGATAAATATAGATACATAGATATATAGATATAGGTATAGATATTTGTATATTTTTTACACTAACAACAAGTTGACATTTCTTTTTTTGTGCTCTCAACTGAAGTACTATTTTTTCCCTTTAAGCTGAGATTTTGTTTTACTTTGCAAATTTTATTCAACTGTCATTTTGAATATATGTGTGGATTACAAAGTATATCAAGAGGACAAGATGAAGATTAGCTTCAGGAGGGATTAAAAACAGAACTTGAACTCCTTGAACAAACAGGTGAGAGATAGCCCAGCTAAGAGGCAGCCCAGTGTCCCAACCAAGAGGTGGCATGGCAACCCATCTGAGAAAAGGAGAGATAGCTAAGCTGAGAAATGAAGAAGCAGCTCAGTCACCCAGTCTGACATCTGAATGGAGCCAGTATGGTGCAAACGAGCAGTGGTGAAATGAAGCTAGGTGGCAGAAAACCAGCAACTGTGAGCAGCATGGCAGACATTGAGCAGCAGTGGTGCAGAACTATGTGGCAGAGGAGTAAAGCATCCTGAGGACCAACTAAGGGCAGTGCAGTGGATTAGCAGTAACTGAGAGCAGCACAGAGGATTATCTGAGCAGCGGTGCCCATAGCAGCATCTGAGAGCAGTGTGGCAGACCAGCAGCACTGAGAGCAATGAAGTGGAATAGCAGTGGCTGAGAGCAATGCAGAGGACCAACTGAATAGCAGCGCCCACAGCAGCAGCTGAGAGCAGCATGGCAGACCAGCACCAGCTGAGAGCAAGGTGGTGAACGAGCTAAGTAGAGTGCCCACATCAGCACATTGTACCTGAAAATCCCAACAATGTCCAGGCAACCAAAGGGCAAGAAAGCAGGGGGGAAAGGATTAAATACA